AAAGCAATGGTTACTTATTGGCCACTACAAGGTCAGTCTTGTAGTGCAAAGCGCTTTGTGGTGAAGAACTGCTAATGCTTTTCAGTTACCATTAACTAGAAGAGAAATGTCTCGTGTCATACAATGTTTCTCTATAGGTTTCACAGTTTGGGCTTTTGTGCCTGCATTTGTTCACTGTACATTTCCCTTTGTTCTTTATTTTTATTGTGAATGATCTTAAACTGTCTGTGTTCCAGGACAATGGCTGACCTGGAAGAAATCTGCCAACACTTTCAGAATAAACTCTCATCCTTAAAGTGCATGCTGGATCTGTCTGCTGCTGGTATGGCACTGAGTTTTGGTTAGTAGCAACCATGTAAGACTACGTTTGAATTTATGACTGAGCATTTTCTTCTCCACATTTAGACTTGCCCCAACAAAAGATAAAGAAACTGGGACAAGAAGTGTTGGGACTTGGAAGAATTCTGGAGGAGTTTGAAAAATGTGTCGATCAGCAGAAAGAGCAACTAAAGCAGCTAAAGGTGAAGTTTCAGCTGCAGTGGTTGGAGAATCAGCAGTGTTTGATAAGTTAGTCATTTTTCATCTTGAGCCTCTGCTACGTCGTAATTAAAAACATGTTTTTATGGCTTTCAGGAACTTGAGAAGTTATTTCAAAATGATGTGGAGAGTATTCAGCACATGAAGGACAACTTTCCTGCACACATTCCTAAAAGGAAAAGTCCAGCCAAGTAAGAAGATGGTGAAATTCTTGTTTTGTTTATATGAAGAGCCATTAATATATTGTGTATGGGTTATTTCATCATTTTCATTGTTGCCATTTATCTGTATAGTTATTTGTTTTGTGACAATAAGAAAAAGAAGCATCTGTTGTATCTACATTCTAGAAAATGTTTTTTGTTTTTTCTTTCAAAACAAATATTTTTCTAATATTGTATTATTGAGGGCTTCAATATTTTAGAAACCTTAAAAATGCAGTAATCATCAGTAGTAAAAATAGGTGGTGCAGCGATCTTGCAGCCTAACATTTATTTGAGTTAAAAATGTTTAACGTTGACGGGAAATTTAAAAGTAATCTGATGTGATTATGTATCATTGGAAGATGGATATTAACAATACTTACAGCAACTACAAAGTCTTAACTGTTTCACCAAAGAAACTCTTTAACCCATCTTTACCATCACTGGTACTGGTGAATAAAAAAACCTTCGATAAATGAACAATACTTACCGTAGGTTGTAAAGCCTGTAGGATTGTAATATCGGATGGCAGTGTTAATTTTCAAGGGTGTGCATTAGCCCTGATTTAACTGTGGCAGCCAGAACGGGGTGCTCACCTTGAATAATGGTAAGAGAAACACCATAAGGATCTATTGTGCGGCTTTGAATGAGTGAGAATTATTATATTTGGTTTGCAGGAACGACAAACCAGCAGATGATCAGCCGGCCCAGGCCGAAAAGACGAAGAAGATCAGCAGGAACTTAGTGAAAGAGATGGATTATATCACCACACAGGAATATGAGAGCATCCCTCAGTAAGTCATTTTTTAAATTCTAGTTTTGTGTGACAAAATCTTATGATATAATTAAGGTGTAGTATTCTATCAAAATAAGTATGAAAAAAATTACTGTGAAAGTTGGCTTGTAATTATACGGCTTTCTTCCAATACTTGGTTTAATGCAAATTAACTACATAGAGCTGAAGATGGCATCATGTATGTGCTTCAACAAGCTGTCATCTTGTCAAACCCCTTTGAATATTTGAATATAACACAATTCAGCCTAATTTACTTTGCCAGAAACTCCAAAAGACACAGGTAGAGGCCTAAAGAATCACCTGGATCAGTGACTTCCTGACAAACAGACCACAGCTTGAGACTGTAGGGACTCTTGTGTGACCAAGTGGCCAGCAGCACAGGAGGACCACAGGGGGCTGTACTCGCTCTCTCCTTTTTACACTGTACACACTTTCTGCTCAGTACAAAATAATGAGCAGACATGTAGAAGGTGCATAAGAAAAGGACAAGAATTGTGTTCTTGGAGGAGAGAGTAAAGACCTGTGTTCATCTGGGCAGCTGACCAAATGAACACTGGAGACACAACAGTGGAACTGTCCATAAGAAGGGATGGAGCAGACTGCAGTTGAGGAAGCTTAGGTTCTCGTGTCTGTAGCAAGAGAAGAGATCAAATTCCATCTGTATTTTATGATACGTCTGTTAATATCTCATTTGTCCCCAAGGCTGATTTTGTGTGTTTGCCAATGTATTTCTGAGTTCATTTGTCCAGAACAGTTTCTTTAGTTGTTTTTTTTCTTTTCCATGACTGTCAACATGCGTGTTTGTTTTTCAGTTACATGAAAGGACGTGTTTCATATGAGCAGCTCAATGCTGTGGTGGAAGGCATTAACACTGCTGTAGCAGCCAAGTATAGGATCCTCTGTCAGCCACTGAAGGCTCTTAATAATCATTCACGCAAGTTGCATCAGCGCTTCAAGGACCAGGAAACCAAAGATACAAAAGGTATGCTGCAGGCCATGCTTCTCTAATCAGCTGTGGATGCAGTTGATAAAACTGACTGAATTGTTTCTCCTTTGTTGTTTTCATGGAAACTCTCCAGATGAATCTGGGAAAGCTTGTGACACATCCATACAAAGACACTGGTTAGTTTTCTCTTTCTTTTCTGTGTCTGCAGGACAGTTTTTTGTTGTGGAGGAGGACATGTGTGAATTCACCCAGATGAAAGTGGACAAACGCTTTCAGGGGATCCTGAACATGCTGCGACAATGTCAGCGTCTCCGTGAGGTCAGAGGGGGCGGACTGGTCCGTTACATGTTGATGTGAGAGGACACACTTCGTTCTTAGCCTCAACACCAGGACAACACTGTAGACTGTAATTATGTATGTTATAGTCAGGGAGACTGTTTTGGATTTTATTAAGCATTTGTCACATAACTTGTATTAATGAGACAAAGTTTGTTCTTGTTATGATTTGGATTGAATATTTGCTTGCAGGTAAAATTCCAAAACATTACAGTTAAGCATTTATTTTTATTCTGCTGGGTAAACAGACCTAAATTATGTCTTTTACTTAATCAGTGGGATGCAGTGAACAAGCCTTTATTTTGTCAGTGACCTTTGATGTAAATTGAGATGAAAAGTAATTTATTAAACCTATTTTTTGCTCCTGTTTTAAACATGGCTTTTGTTTTCGCTGAACGATGTTGTACTATTAGGACCACATCTTTCTGAAATTTAGGTATTTACTAGCCTGGCCATTGCCTTCCTGTGCAATTCCATTGGACAAATGTTCTCTCTTCCTGCACTACACGAAGCGAAGTGTAGCACAAGGGCCTGGGTTTTTACCAGGCTCGGTATTTACTGACGTATTCTAAATAATAATTTGACACACACTAGACTGAGACATGGCAGAGAGGTGAGAATTCCAGAACTTTGCAGATATGTTATCTCTCCACAAATAACAGAAGACATGAAGGAAGAACATGCACCAACCTTGCGTCAGTCGGACTGCCTCGCTGTGTGAATGTCTGAACAGTGTGAAGCGCTTTGAGTCCTCTGGACTTAAGTCCAGTCCATTTATCATTTCCAAGCAAGTCCAGCTGGAAAACGAAATCAGCAACCATATGAAGCTTGTCAGCAGAACAAGCATGAAGTGCTCTAACTCCAAGTTCATCAAACTTCTGTGAAATCAAACTGTCCACTTAGAAAGCAACACTGATTGACAATCAATATCACTTCTGTTGTGCAAATGGAATAGACAACAGGTGGAAATTATTTTCGTATTTATTTCATCCATTCAGATCTAGCATGTGTTATTTGAGTGTTCCCTTTATTTTTTGAGCAGTGTATATCACTGTTAGAAAAAAAGGATTCAGAGGTTTGGCTCAGATTATCATGTCTACCCGTCTTTCTCAAACTGTGGTGCCGGGACCACTAGGGGTCGGCAGGCACCCCCTGCTGGTCTACAAGCTCAAAGCGAGAGCCACACAGTTAACTTGTTGTTTTAAAATGATGCATAAGTGACTTAAGACCTGTTCACTCAAAAGACTAACTTACACAATCAAATGAATTCATGTGGGCAAGAATGTTTTAGTTTCTTGGGTTGAGTTGCAGAACTTTTGTTTTGATAACACAATTTTGATCCATAACATGCTGCAACAAGTGCAGTATGATGGGAACAAGGCAGTGAGTTGCATTGTATTATCAAACCTTAAAAAGTTATGTAGCTTTGTTCATATTAAATTACTTTGTCATTTGTTGTTAGTCTTAACTGTTATCTAACTGATCCTTCAGGATTCCAGTAAGATGTCCGTACAGCACACATGAACTTTGCAGTTGAAACATTCTGAGTCTTCGCTGAAGGAAAGTCACATTGAGTTGATTGTTTCAGTCTTGACTGTTTAACTTATAGCAGACATTTTGTTTAAAAAAAACACTCAAACCAGGCAGTTAATCACAGAGGGACAAAAAGCTGCAACTTTATTTTTAAGGAAGCCAGATAGAAGCTGGGGACACAAAGACGAAGACTATGAAGATGAGGCGTTCTCACAGGTAACAGGTTCTCTGTCTGAGAATCCTACTGAATAACTGGACCAGCAGAGGAATCACACACCAGACCAACTACAGCCAACAGCGCATCAAATTCTCTTGGAAGTCCAGTCTTAAATATCTGAATTGTTTTTTTTTTTTTTTGTCAAGATTGTAATTAGTTTGGTTATAGTTTTTATTAAGTCCACCACATTAATGTTCATTATGTTGTAGTTAAAAATAAAATAAGAAAGTCATGGCCAGACTGTGGTCAAATATGCTTGAAAAAATTCAAACATTTGACTGATCAGCTCAGTTTCCCTTCATTTCACACCAACATTTCTGTTGCGATTTGCTGTGCAGCAGGTCCAGACTGGCGCTGCTGTGTCGCAGTTTGAGGCATTAGAAAGGCGTCTAACTGTACCGCTGTTCTGGTGGAAGAAATGACGCTGAGGTCAGGCAGCTTTCCAACAGCTACAGGTTTAATATCTGATCAACAACAGTAGAAAAACAGAGGCTAACAGACAAAAAGAAGAGTAAGAAATTCAACATCATCCAACAGACTCTTTAAAATAATTCCTCTGTACAATATTTACACACACATGCACACTCGCACACACTACATTACATTTACACACGTCTCCTCAGCCAGCCTCTGGATGTCCTCAGAGTCCTTTTTTTTTTCCATGATGCATCCAGGTGAAGAAGTGATGATGGCGTTCTGAGTGGGGAGTGAGAGAACTTTGACATGTATGAGGATGAGAGGAAAACATGAACCAGTGAGACGACAGAACGACGCCGACCGCCCATCACGCCACCTCCGGTCACTCTTCACCACCAGCGCGTCTCTGTTTCCACCTGGCAGCTCCACGGCGCCCCCTGTCTGGGAACCACAGTGTGGAGGCGGCTGAACCGCCCAGAACCAGCAGAACTGTTTTGGTCCGGTCCAGCAGGGAGTCTGCTGGATGTGGAACATGAAGTGGTGTCACAACAGAAAGATGCTTTCATGTGATCCAGTCACATAACTTGGATGGGCGGAGTTCAGCCAATCAAAACTACCTACAGAGAGTTAGCAAAAAAACAAACAAGACAATTACACCAAAACAACTCATTTCAAAGAGTTATTGGTTTCTGAGGATCTCAGGTTTTCATTAGTTATTTCTATGATCGACAAAAAAAGAGTTTTGATTCATTACAAAAATAAAATCTATAATTGTTGGTTCCCCTCTGATGACGGCTTAAACCCCAGTGGCACGGCGCTGACCTCCTGTCTGTAAAATCATCCATTGTAGACGTCTCGGCATTTTCCTCATGCCTGTTTCAGTCGTTTGTTTTTTCTGTTGAGCCACAATTCAAAACCAATGTCTACTATTTATTGGTTCATTTTCAGTAAAATTGTATTCATCATTACTTCTGCCAGTTTCAAGTTTAGTGACCATTAACTGACTAACTCTGCAACAATGTAGTCCAGGTCTGTAGCTCCAGAGCTACAGTAATGACCTGAAGAGCCTCCATCATCAACTCTGAACCCGATTTCAGTACAACACCATTCAGGGCCTAAAAGACTAGTAATATTTAACATTTTATAAATTTACAGACAGGAAGCCAGTGTAGTGATTTAGGAATAAATAATCAAAGTACCACAGAAAACCTGCAAAGAGTTGTTCAGTTATTATTTTAAAAAAAAGGGTTGACTGGAGTAATGTCAGTGAAGATTATTCCACTGAAAACTAAGACATTTGTAGCATGCCATTTTAATGAAATATGTCTATAAATTAGAAAAAAAAATAGCATTCGCAGCAAAATTTTCAAAAAGTAAAATACCATGTGGTACAAAAGCAGAAATGCAATTCTGCACCTTAGAAAATCAATTCCTGTCTAATGGATGAAACTATACTGTGCGAAACAAAATCTAAAATGAGCCATGCAGTTTAGATTCAGAAACTCTGTGATTCTGTTCATTCGTCTTTGTGAGGCAAAAGAATCTGGTACTGAAGACTGAGTATCTGCTGCCTTGTGAATAAAATCAGGAATCTTATGGAGGCCGGTTTGGATCTCACCAGTTTCACCTCCGTGGAGGGGGGTACATGGACGGGGCCGATGCTTGCTGACTTGCAACGATGGCTGAAGAGGAGAGGCCTGGAAGGAAATACCAGACATCAGAAACGGTCAGCATGAACTCCTGAGTTTATGCTGAGGAAAAGTGAAAATCCCTGCAAATGGCTCCGATCAACCTGATCAATGTAGCATGGATGTATGGATGGATATGGTAAAACAGGGTTTGGAGAACCATTTATGTTTTACTAAGGGGTGGATGAGAGATTGAAACATATTTTAACTTCCTTGATTTTCAAAGACATGATGGTTCCTATCAACAGATTTTTAAGGTGTAAGTGTCTTGAACAAAAAGGTCTGCAAAGCATCAGGAAAAGAGAATCTCCCCTGTTAGGAAGTCAATTCAAAACTTCAAATATTATGTTATGTGAAATGTTTGACACATTTGATCTGCGTGGCAGCATCTCACCGGCAGCGTAGGACAGGTCATACTGTCCAGACAGCAGAGGGTATCCCAGGTGATGATGGGGAGGAATGACGCGATGTGAAGGAGAAGACCGAGGCCGAGCGCCCTCTCTCTCACGCTCCCTGTCCCGTTCCCAGTCTCGTTCTCGTTCCTGCGCCGTTTTGTTGTCTTGAACGGAGGGCGATTTGCTTTTGTAATGGCTGGCATGCTGCTGCAGCAGGTCCAGAGCTTTGGCCTCGCTGGGCGGCTTCACAGTTGGACTTGACCTGGAGGGTTTCTCCCCGTCCTCCCCTCCTGCCACTTTCCCTCCATATGAAGAAAACGGGTAACCGGCCTGCAGGTATGAAGCTGAGGACAAAGTAAGCAAAGTGAGACTGCTTTCCGACTACAGCAGGGAGAACAAATATTTTATCAACTTCATAAAATAATGGCCAAAGTCCTTTTTGTGGCAAATAAATAAATAAAATAAATAAAAAGTTCCTATCTCAGAAAAAAATAAATAAATCACTTTTGGCAAGAACTGAATCAGTGTTCTTTTTTTTATTATATTTTGCAAGTTAGACGGTGAAAAACAAAAACAATGTCAAAACGACGCCCCGTTATTCAGATAACGAACATGAACCAACATTACCTGGGTAGTTCTGCATCATGACTGCAGGCATGCCTCTGTAGCCGGGGTGGCTGGGATCAAAGCCCTGGCTGTAGCCATAAGGTCCCTGCATGTAGGACATGTAGCCCTGATGCTGGGCCAGCGGGGAGGCGAACTGCATGTGGGGGACGCGGACCTCCTTCCCTCCACCTTGGTACTCCTCTGGGGGCAGCGGCATTCTGCCCTCCACCCCTTCTTTCACCTCATCCTTCTGAAGGCTTTCCTTTACTCGCGGCTTGTCCTCCTTGGCCTTCCTATCTCTCTCCCTCTCATCTTTCCACCTTTCTTCTTCTTGCTGTCTTGCAGCTTCTGAGTATTTACTGGGATACACATAGGGCCACAGGCGAGAGTCTGGCTCCTGGGAACAAAAAGAAAACCTGAGAAAAGTGCAGTTTTTTGACAGTTGTACACAGAACTGTCACAGAATTAAAGCTGCTATCTATGAGGGCTAATGTTCATTTCTGGAGCTGCTGTCACTCTGTCTTTACTTTACTGTCATGTGTGCCAGCAGTTTGAAAACCATGTTTCAGGTGGGTTTAATTGTGAATTTAAGCACTTTTTGTGGAACATTGATATAAGTTTGTGTTTCAAACATAATTTGCCTCTATTATCATACATGGTGCAGGTGTATTGGGTTAAAGGAGATATAATCTTCACTGCTGAACGGCATCAAAATATCCTGCTACTTTTGTTGTGACGTCAAAGCAGCAGCACAGATGCTGATGTCAGCAACAACAGTCACTTTTCTAAAGGATTTGTTAGGAGTTCCTAGAAACCTTGAAACATGAACGGCTAGAATAGCACTTTGCAGCAATCTGGTGGTTGAAGAACCTAAATAACAGATTAATAATAATAATATCATATGTATTGTTGTTTAGCTCATATTCTACTCTATTTAAACCATTTTTTGATTTGAAAATGTTTTGTTGACATTTTGCTTCAATCAAAATGTTACTAATTAGACACTGTAATTAATTCCATTGAAAATACTACTATTAATATTTATAATGGTATGTTACATGTGAATCAAAAATTAACTTCAAGACATGACCTGGTCTGACATATGGAATGTTCTCCAGGAACCATCAGCAATGTCAGTTTCAAAGTTGCCAAACAATTAGAATGAAACAGAGTTTCCCCCAGCATTAAGGAAACCTGCAGTTATTAAAATTAAATGATATAATTATTACATTGCATTATATAAACAAGTACTGCAGCCTAGCTTGTACAATATTTCCTGAAACCTTCTTATAAAGCTCAGAACACAACATGCAGAAATGCATTACCTGTCTGTACCACATGGTGGAGTCCACACCTGTTGGTCTGCCTAGTTCTATCCCTGGTTTGGCCTCTTCTTTCCCATGGTGACTCGTTTCATGAAGTTTCATCTTCAGCCCTTCAGCCTGGGAGCTGGGGAGTTTCATTTCCTCTCCTTTAGCCATAATGACCGATTTGGCCTGTTCTGAAGCTGCTGCAGGATCTTTAGATTTGGCCGGGGTGACCAATCCTTTAGGCCCCAGGTCTGTGAGACCAGGGGCGCCAGAGCCTGAAGGGGGACCTGTCTTCTGCTTCCACTCATCTTTCCCAATAGAGTCACGGTCTTTGCCTTCCAGCTTCTTGTCAGATTGTCGCTGCCTCTCCTCATATTGCTGACGGTAAGCAGGGTTAGAGGCCAGCAGGTGGTTATGGTAGGCAGGATCAGAGGCATAGGAGTAGGGGGCCACATAGTACTGGTTGTAATACAGAGGTTGGGAGTACATGTTGGAGCGGGGCTGAATGACTGATGGCTGCTGAGGACCCAGTTCTGCCTTCCTCTCCTCCGGAGGTTCCACCTTAAGCTTGCCCTCCTCCACCACCTCCAAGTCTTCCTCCTTCTTCACCTTCACCTGTGTTACTTCCATATGAGCAGTTGCTCCTGGTACTGCTCCTGGGCTGGGGTTTGGATAGCTTGGCGAGTAGTAGGAGTCATAGTTGGGGTAGTATGGCGACTCCTTACTGGGAGCCTGAGAAGGGAACAGTGTTTTCTTGGCACCTTCGCGCGGCCCCTGATCAGGATCTGGTTTGACCTTCACACCCTCTGCCTTCCCTTCTCCATCTTCGCCTGCATCAGAGATGTCAGAGTAAGCGGGGCTGCTGGTCTTCACAGACACATTGTCAGCACCGTTTTGGTTCTGGTGCAATGGTGTTGCTAAACCAGCCTCTATCCTGCTTGCGACGCCGATGGACGGACTTGGAGCATTGTCGGAGAAACTGTAGACCTTGTCAGCCTCGGCTTTGATGCTTGCCAAACGGCTCTGGTGAGCTTCCATGCAACCATTCAACAAACTATCTGTTGTCTCGGAATACGGACTTTTTCCCTCCTCCAGCCGCCCTATCTTGTTCATTGCTCCTGGACTATCCTCCTCCTTCCAACTGTCCCTCTTCTTCTTGTCTTTCTTTTTCTTGTCTTTCCCGAGGGTGGGGCTGCATGAAGGGTCAGAGAGTGGAGAGGGTTTAGTTTGGCTGTTTTTCAGCTGGGGGCTGCTGGGTACAGACTGTACCACTGAGCTCAATGCAGGAGACGGTGCCTGGGGAGAATATGATGACGCAACCCCAAGAGGCAACGGTCGGCCCATCTTTGCACTTTTCTGACTTGATTTATCAGGTTTGCTGTTGACTGACATTCTTCTGGCCTTTCTGTCATCCACTCCATCATTGCTGGCCTCATCGGTTAAACATCCACCCTCCTCACCGCCGTCAGTAGCCTCAGGCTCCCCTTCCCCTGCCTTCTTTTTTCCCTTCAATGTCTGCTTTCCTGACGAGGGAGAAGGGGCATCGAAGCCCCGTCCTTTGGGAGTATTGGAGCGGGCGGGAGAGAACGCAGCACCATTACAGGAAGTTGGGTCATGCTGGAGTACAGAGTCATCCCCATATTCACTGTCCCCATCCTGGTCCAGTCGTACATCGTGGTCATTATGGGCGCGAGCCTGGTGGTACTTCAGCCCGTTGATGTGTTTGTATTTCTTGTTGCAGTTGGGATGGGGGCAGTCGATAAGTATAGGTGAAGGACAAGTCCGCTCCAGTTGTGGGGGGGCCAGGGCTTCTGTTTTCCCAGCAGGGACCAGAGTCCCCACACCAGAAGAGTTGGTTCTCATGCGCTTTGAGGCTTTAGAGTCCTCAGAGCTGGAGGTAGGTTCCATGTCAGACACAGGTTTAGTTTTTCTCTTGGCAGAGGATGGGCTGGCCTTTGCATCTTCACCACATCCCACCACCACACCCCGTCGCCCTTTGCTGGTTGCAGCAGCACCACGAGTCTTGCTCCCACTGCCTTTGCTGTCTGATGAGTTGCTGTTGTCATTCAAAGGCGCGTTGGTGCTGGGTCGCATCCTTTTTCCCCGCCCACGGCCACTTCGCATCTCCATGTCACTGGTGGGGGATTCACAAAACCTGCAGGCAAACAGTAAAAGCATTTAGCCTCCATTCTCTATCAGGTTTGGTCAACCTTTTCTTTACTTTATAAAGTTCAGTCTATGCTCCCATCTAAACCTCTCTCATTTGCAGTTTAATGTAAAGTCATAGTAAAAAGTAGTTATCAGGATTCCTTCAGGTTCCACAAATAATGTCTGAGCGTTATTCAAATTTTTATATGATAGAAAAGTCCGACAAGAGAGAAAAAAAAAACTAAATATAAGGTATGAGATTAAACACAACACAATCTAAGACCTATGATCAGAGTAGTTTTGGCCAACCTACATTTTTTTAGTGAATTTAAGAGTTTTTAAGGATGTGCGTACACCATGTCCATCCATCCATTTTCTGTACAACCTATCCCTAGTGGGGTGAGGAGGGGCGCTGGTGCCGACCTCCAGCAAACATTTCGGGGGAGAACAGGGTTCACCCTGGAAAGGTCGCCAATGTGTTGCAGGGCAACCCAGAGACAAACAACCATGCACACACACTCACACCTCTCCATGGTCCAAGGTCCTGAATCGAACCCAGGACCTTGTGTTACCTACTGCGCCACTGTGCAGCCCCCCCCCCACCCCCCCATACACTATGTTATTTTTGCAATCCAGGAAATACCTTCTTCTTTACTTTCAGAAACAAACTATCTGATTAAATAAAAACTTAATGAGACCAAAATTGATCCCTCGAAGATTTGGGTAATCAGAAACGATTAGTGTTTTAAATAGATCACCACAGAATGCAATATGCATCTCTTAATTCAGTAAGCTGCTAACCAGTGAACTGTAACTGGAATGTGTTTACATACCTCGGCGGGGCCCAGTCGTGTCTTGTGCAGTCCAAAAGGGTCCCAACATATGTCTTGTTCCTCCAGGTGACATTAACCACTAGCATCCCTGCAGAAAGGAGAACACAGCATCTAAACTATCACAATGGAATTGATGCAGACAGTTTAAAAACTAGTTTTATAACTTGTTTTAATTGTTTAAGAGCAAAAATATTAATTAAAAAAAAACAATTGTGTAAGTATCTATCTTTCATAAAAGCATTTTTTTTCTATATTTGTTGAATCTGTCACTATGTCGTGACGATTTGGCATGAGACAAATAAGCTTCGCTACCTTCTCCCAGTGCTATTTAGAAAACAGAGTCAAAGCGGGTTTCTTCATTCCACCCCTTGGTGTGGTGCTGCACCTTACCGACAGGAAGTGGTTTCTCTGGTATTAACATAGAGCAGCAAGGATATAAGGTTGATTTTACAGTGCCAAACCTTCCTGCTGGCTCTGATTGTTTGTTTTTGGTTGGAACGACACAGAAGCCGTGCATTTCTTCAGACAGCAGTACTCACTCAGGGAGAAGCACCCCACTTAGAGAACCACTTCTACATGAAATACATTTGACAATATGTCAATTGATTTATAAAGCACTTTGAAAAGAGCAGCAATTAACTGCTCTCTCGCATGATGATGCGGTTCTGTCAAAAATGCTGTCATAGTCCAACCATTGCACCAAGCAATTCAGCAATGCTTATTTACCCCCAAACCCTGACAAAACACGACCAATTCAACATCATGCCGCTAGCTCTTCACAACAACTCATAGGCGGAAGTGAGAGTGCTGCCCACCACAAATAATGATCGGGCGGAACACGGTGCGCTACATAATAAAACATAATTTAACAAAGCTTCGAGGCAGATGAATTTTTCTCGAGGAATTTTAATAATCCAGGTACTCGAATCATTCGAGGAATCGTTTCAGCCCTAGCTAATTGACATCCCAGACTGAGAACTTCTGTCATCCAGTTTTTGGTGGGAAGAGAGAAACAGTAAATTATCCAAATAGAAATGATTGAGCTTGCTTTAATTTATCTGTGATTAATTGATTTATTTTTTATTGTGACAGGCCTATTCACACAAACTTTAACATTACAAATAACACTGATGTCATTTGTTGACATCTGAGAGAAATGTCAACAAATGAAATAAAACTATTACATAAAAAAAATGAAACAGAATTGGGTTACAGTGATTCAATACCAACCTTAAGTCAGTGGATTTAAAAAAACACAATGACTTGTGTCTATTGTCTTATAAAATAGGCTTCATCTTTCAATTACCAACATGGTCAATGTTAAGGCTTGTAAATCCTTTAATATTTTCTTGGCTTCTTATTTTCAATCAGTAGAAATGATGCATTAAGTTTATACGACTGCAGTAATATCTTTAAAATTAGAGTGCCATCTTTAGATATTCACAGTACAATTATTATGTAGAGTAAGTATTATACCAGGAACTGGAGACCCACCAAATTCTGATTTTCTTGTAGATCTGACCTTCCTGTTCTAATTTCTTTAAAAGAACACAATCTAAACTCTCTTGAAACAGCTATCACAGAAAGAGTAGTTGTGAATCCAACTGAAAATCCAAGAATTACAATATTATCCACAATTATGTATCCAATGATCCATCCTTCTACCCTGTATCTGATTTTCTACCTTAAAAAGGCGCATCAGTGTAAGTGCTGTTGGATGGTGCACTTCTACACCAAACAATGTTACTGAATGCAACAACTCCACATGATTACTCACTGTAAAAACAACCATTGACAGAGTCATCTGTTGTATTTGTGTTATGTTGCTCACCATCTTCGGTCTCCTGCCACACAATTCCTTCCAGGTTGACGCTGGTGCCAGGCTCACAGGGTCCCAGACATTCCGGCTCAGTGGCCAGAGCTGCTTCTGCTGTGTTCACTGCAATGGAGCGCGTGCGAACCATGATTTGCTCACAAGGGGACGAGATGTCGCTGCTGTTAGCAGGAGGACCGAGAAGGTGAAGAGGAGGAGGAGCACAGGTGGAAAAGGGAGATTCCATCTGTAGGAAGAAGCGGACAGAGAATCCCTGCTGTCAGTCACATTCATAAGCCGTCAGGTTTCAGGCCAAGAAACTCTGTCATCCTCCGTGTTCAGCAAATATATAACCAGACTTTAAAAAAATAATAAAAATTATTTATACACACATCACTAATTTGATTTCTGCTGAACAAAGTAGAGCAGAAATAACACACCAGAAGTCCCATCTTGTTCCTCTACAGCCTCTGTAATTTTTTTAGCTACCAACAAATGATTTTGTCCTGTTCCAATAGAATATAATGTGAAATATATGTCTGTGGAAAAAATACTTTTTTTTTAACAAAGTAGGGAACGAAGGGGTTCATTTTTGATAAACACTGGAAAAGACTGTAGTTCTGTTCAAGTTGTGCTAAAAGGAGTTTAGCCTAAAGTAGCATCTCAAGGCTAAACATGTAGCAGCAGCACCGACGTCCCTTCACTAACATCAGCTTCAACAGTCACATTTCTAAATAAGATCCAGGAATGTTCAGGCATTGCTGGAACACTGGAAAGCTGAAGCTGCAGAACACAACTTTGCACCAATCTGACAGCTGAAGAACCAAAATAACAGATTAAAAAAATATATTTGATTTTGAGCTCATATGTATATTTATTCAATAATTTAGCGGCAAATAGCGGTTTTGAAATGAAAATGTTACTTATGTTGACATATGGCTGCAATTAATTTAATTATACATTTTAAAGGTGAGATATAAAACTGCAGCATAATCCTACAAGAGTCTTCATGCAACTTTCTCACTTCTGATACGATATCAATATTGCACCTTTGAGTATTGGTCGATACCAATAGCGACCCAATACAATATTAGGACAAATCATTACTTATTTTGTAGTGTGAAATGTTAAAATTGTGAAAAGTGATATTCAAACAGAGAATAAGAGTCAACAACAATAGGTGTGACAACAACTTGACACATTTATCATTAGCTAGTGGCTTTGCATACAGGACATAAGAAATGCTGGAGCAGACTTCGCTCCAGACTAATTGCTGGAGCGAAGAGCTTCTACCAGCATTTTAGAACTAGGCCAATATAATCTAGTAATCGTTTTTTGTCTAAAATCGGACAAATTTCAATATTAATATCGGATTGGGACACCATAAAGCTATAGTAAAGTGGAAGATATCACCACAGTACTAAAGTCTTTCCACTGAAGTTGAGAAAATAGTCTTTAAAATACTGTGGTTAATTAATAAATCACTGAACTGTTTAGCATCACAATACATTAAAGATCTGCTGTTGTTGTATCAACCTTGCAGACCTCTGAGATCTTCTGGTTCTGCTCTGCATCCCAGAACCAGAACCAAACATGGAGAAGCAGCATGTTGGCTTTGGCTCCCAGTAACACAACCAATTTATTGCTTAGGTCGGTGTTTCTGTTGCAAAAGCTCAGATAAACAGGCCGATAATCTGACCGGCAGATTATGTTAATATTGAGCAAATTCAGTCATCTGTGCTCTATTAACATTTTGCTCCCCAAACAAAATGTAAGCAGTTTAGATACCAGAAACCACTTTATGTCTATTTGACAATATTACAGGATAGGAAGAAACAGAATGTTGCATTACCTTCTCACTACTGACAACTTTCTTCAGATTTCGGCAATCTGCGTTGTCTTCCTCCTCCTGCTCTGTCATCATGGTGACAGCCTGGCCAAACCCTGCAGAGTCCAAAGCCAGGTTCCCAAACTGGTCCACAGGGTTTAACTCTGGGTTTTGTTGATTCTCGAAGGAGCTGGTACGAGGGGCTCCAAGAGGCAGAACAGCAACACCAGACTCCTTCTCAGTGTTGACCATTCTTGTCGCTACAGCTTCTATTTTTTCCTTTTTAGTTTTTCCGTATGCCACATCTTTGTCCTTTTTTACAGCAGGGGGAATACGAGAGGCTTTACCAGACTTATCAGTCCCCTTAGTTAGGGTAGAGTTAGTGTTCTGGGGTGCCATGTCTCCCTGGGCCCTGCTTTGGGTCTCCTTCTTAGTTCCATCTGGAGTCTTTCCACTTTCTTTGGAGTTTTTACTGCGCTTCGATTTGGACTTGCCATCTTTGCTCTGCATGGCAGCAACAGGACTGACAAACTTTATGTTGTCAGGTAAAACAGCTACAGCACCCGGAGGGGCGGCCATTCCTCCTCCTTCCTTACTGCTTGACATCTCTAACTTGTCCTTCTCTAAATCAGCATCCAGGTCAATGATCAGATTCCCAACACCAATATCCCACTCGTCACCACTGTCGTAAGTGTCCACCGCATTGGAGTCCACACCTTTCCCACCTGCAGGGCTGCTGCTGAGGGACATCTTAGTTCAAGCGTCCCAGAGGGCCACAGAGGGCCGCAGGGGGGGCCGTGCTCCTCCCTACAGCAGTGCACCTGCTCAGGGCTGCAGCCTGTGTCTCCTCCACACCGTTTCCCACATCGCCTCCTGTAAAAGAACAAAAATCACAAATTGAAGGTTGGCGTTTAACGTGATCAACTAGTGATTAATTCAGCATTTCTCACTCACAGACTAGAATATTATAAGGTGATGAATGGAAGGAAAGTTTCCTCTGAGCTTAATATACAGTCTCCCTGGATATTTCATGGTTTGGTGGTTTTCACAGAAAAGAAAAAATTTTGAATATTTCACCCCTGGTAAAGATAAAATTTGCTTATACACTATGCACCATTTAGCAGTTTTTTACACCACTTAGTCAAGACAAAAACACATGTATAGAGCTGCACAATATATGAGCACCGCAAGAAAAGGCTGGGGTAAACACTGGGGTAAACCCTGCATCTATCAGGCAGGCTGAAATATTTCAAGTCCAGTCCTGGTGAAGCTCCTCCATTGATTTTGCTTGACAGTCTTGTCGGAGCTGCAGTTATTCATGGAGGATCGTAAGAAGGATTCAGTTTTAGTTACAAATGGAGTGAGAAATCTCAAGACGCATTGCTTTCTCGGTAAGCATCATTTTCAGATGGCACAGAATGTTTATGTATTCTAATTTAATTTTATTGTCTGAGTTATTTAGTCTATTTCATCAAACTAAAAGGTGTTGGGGGTGAAGCACTGGGTGGTGTTAGTGGATAGGAGGCATCAGCGGAGCATCATGAAGAGTCAGATTTATAATGCATCATAACCTTAAAGATCATAACTCAATTAATTAAAATTGAGTGGGTGAGAGTTAATTAAAAACTCTCACCCACCCTGCGTCAGTTTGTGTGGAAAGTTATTCTGAGATCAGTTTTGAGTTTAGTAAACTTCTTCATTGTTATAACTAGCAGCGACTATTTACCGTGTCACACCAGGCAAATAAAACCTTTTCTCAGAAACCAGGAGGAGTCATGTAAAAACATCTTGACTTGTTTCAGTTTCATCAGGATCATAAACATTCGGGGAACATATACCTTGACCTGAAGAGACTGGGGCTGACCCATCTCAGACCTCAGATGCACGCCCCCTTGGAAAGCTCCAGTCTGCTGTTCATCCTCAGATCAGAATTAATGACTGCATCGTCCGCCTGCTTCAATAAGCCCCTTTTCACCTGAAAAAAGCAGAAAGCAGTTACAAAATAATTCTGGGATTGTTTCTCTTTGTGTTTAACATTATCTGTTTGGCTTTAAACAACCACTCTATTATGAGGCGGCATAAGGACAGTCGCCTTTAGAGGTTTTTCTTCTGAATTGTTGATATTTCTATAGAAATGTCACAAAAGACGTACCTGACAAGACGTCAAAACACAATTTGATCAAATATTACATTAATGTCTCAGAGAGAAAAGGCCTAAAACCCGTGCATAACAATATTTGGACCTTTATTATTATTGTTCAATGTACAACATAACTGTGATCGGTGTGACTAATTAGCAATCTGAATATAATAAGAATGTGTGAACACTATACACAAGAAACAGAAATAGTCGCAGAAGTTAAACTAAGTTGAACATGTAAAATAGTGTTTAAATGTAACACTTCAAGAGTAATTGAATTTGAAAATAAAAAAGACATTTAAAATAGTAAGAGTCAAGATGGCAATTAGTGATACACTGATGTATTTCTGGGTGCTATTTGATTCTGTGCCATCCTCTGTGCTGTGAGTGCAGTATGTTCATGGCCTGTGTGTGTGGGTGCTCAGCGTTCTGACTCTGCCTGCAGGGGTGAAGAGGAAGAAGAGGATGATGAGGTGGCTCCTAGGAAGTGTGGGGTCATGTCAAATTTTTGTGGCCCTTGTGAAAGGTTCGCTTGAGTTTTCCTCATCAGGTCCTTCTTTTCTTAGTTCCTCCAGTTTCACATAAAATAAACTGATCCCTGCATTTCTTTGCACTAATTCATAACTGTGAATTTGTGGTAAAATGTCTGCAAAAACAGTCAAAAATATATTTATTGATGTGCAATATTCCATTGAAAAACACAGTTAAAGAATAATGTTGAAGTTTGGTAAAAAAAAAAAAATCATGAAATTAAATTCAATTAACTTGATATTTCAGCTAATGCTTTATTTGGCTGCACAAGATCAGACTAATAAGTGACAATTACTCTAATAGATAGAAAGAGATATTAATATCGAGGTGATGTGCAATCACAGCTTTATTAAAGTCAGAGGTAGAATGTCTGTGGCATGAATACTATGTCATTCACAACAGTGGCAATCTTTGAATACTGGAATATTATGTCCTCTGCGGACCTAACTCATATCATTGGTGTATCAAAACTTTGGAAATTAGGCGTAATGTGAATGAAACATTGTCATCACGTAGCGCTGAGAAAAGCAGCCCAGTTCCCGTTAGCCTGGTGCAGCTAAGTAGCTGCAGCTGACGCGTCGGCCCCACATCTTTACCGCACATTACCACAAAGCTAACGAGCTTTGAAACGTGACTTCATAGCGGATTTATTACAACAACGCTAGCGTCAATCCTGCATAAACAACGAAGATCGACTGTCTGGTACGGAGTCGTGCGAATGTGTTCGTCCGAATTTCTGCTGCTAATATGAGGCCCGTCATGGCCCACTACGGGGCTAACGGCATCCATTATCGGACGCAGCGTATTCACATAGTGGCAGAATTTCTCTAAAGACTGTCAGGTTTGACACAAACACCCTGCGCCAGATAGATGGATCATTCTTTCGAGATGTCAAACTGCATGTGATCCCATGAGCTCAATGTTGCAGACACGGCTAATATTCGCATTAATGGAAATTGTTGTTTGTTGTGCATGATCAAAGGATCAAAGCAATAAATATCATTTGCGGACAAATGACTGTACAGTATAAGCTGTTTTAGACGTTGTATTCCTTAGATCAATTAAAGAGCAGTCATACTTTAGATAAGGACCCTCTATACCAAACTAACATGACACATTGGAAGCTTGATAAACACTACAACAACCTGAAAACATTAATATACCTGCAACTCGAGCTTACTGATGCCAAGACTACTTTCTCAATCAAACAACAACACAAGTTACATGTCCACCTAAATACCTTCAATGATTAATGAAAAACTGAGTTGGAGTTAAGAGATGCACGTAGGGTCAAAAGAAACAAGCAGGTCACAGGAAAACGTGTCCGATGACGGAATCCTGTCCCTTAGCTTCCAGGTCTCCAGACAAAGACAGCAGCTAGCCTGCTGAGCTAACTCCGGGGATACCAGGCTAGCATTCTCTGAAGAACAAAACTAAAGTTCCTCTAACAGAGACAGCGCAGTCTAACATTACCACTTACCAAGTTAAGGATCCCTTGCCAGTAAATATTCATGTACACTTCACAGGTTGATTTAGTTCCAGAAATGATAATCAAGACAAGTTGCCCCAATGTTTAACTGAGGAGTCAACGTGCTCCCAGTTCAATGGACAGCAGCCATCACAGTCATATCCCGGGGAACGCTTCAAAACACCAGGGAACAGTCATAGCCAACAGTCAGCGCTGCGGACTGAACGGGAACAGAACAAACAGCAACAATTCCATGACCAAATGGGATAATCCAGAGATTCCAGGTCCAGGTATCCCAGTTAACAGTCAATGTAGACAGGAACACACCAGTAGCACTACGGAGCTAAATGGCTGTTGGCGACAACGCAACCAAACCCCGGAACAGTGGATCGGAGAAATGAGTGGAGCCGGAGTGACTGGATCAGTGGACTTGGAGTCAGTAATGCAGCTCCCTCATATCGACCTGAAATGCATTTAAATACATTCAGTACGAATTTTGTGATTCCGTTTAGTTGCGTTTTCTTGAAGTATGTAACTTAAAGTTTAAGTTTTAAGTTATTCTTTCCTGTATATAAGACTCGGTTCTGGGGCCCTGCTTTCCACACATTCTTCATTTCTACACAAGGTGTCAACATAAATATTTTTTACTTCTACAGCATTCCTCCATGATGAATCTTTAAGTTCTACTCCTAACACATCTTACTTTACAACGTCAGATAAATAGATTTTTCTAAGATGATCCTGTGTTCATTCAGCTGAGGATTTTTATTCATCAGTTCCATAGGATCTTCACATCAGTTTTGGCAACAGCTGGATCCCAACAGACAAAAGTAAAACAAACAAAAAGCAACAAAACGTAAGCCATTCAATAGTTGTTGCTTAGGCAAAGTGACTTGTGCCTTATAGCTTCTTATTTCTTTCTTAAAACAGCGTAGGTTTTTTCTGACGCTAATAACAATTTGGCCAAAATACTTATCAATAGGCAAAAAATAGTTAGTTACTATCAAATCCTTGTTACTGAAAGTCAATATAAAATCATAAAAAAGAAAAGAAAAGAGCTGCACCACCTACAGAAGTCCTGAAGAAAGCAGAATAATTTTCCTCATCTATGTCTGGTGGCAAGATGGAGCCAAAGACCCCTGACCTCAGTAAGCTCAGTGGTCTGAAATCTGTCAAGAAAAGTTAAAACCTGTCAATATTTATGGAACAGATAATAAAAAACTTGTACCAGATCAAAGTTTAAGTTTTTCAACTTTTTTATTTTTTGTTTTCCATATCATCTGTCTTACACTATGCTGTCATGACAAAGAGACAACTTTAACAAATGTAAAATTAATTTTAAAAATCATTTCAAACTACAGTGAAGATTAACATTGGCCATAAACTGTTTTGCATTAAATAATATTGTCTGGGAAATGAAAGTGCAGATTGAGTGAAGAATCTACTTTTAGATTAGAGTGGCGGCTGGTGGTGACACTTGAAGGATATGTTATAAAGTGATAGCGCTCGGATTTTATTATTTTTTTTCTGTGTAGCAATGCGCTTCCGTACAATCACACTTACATAATGAAACAAGATGCGATATGTTTTTAAATGAGGCCTACCTTATTTAAAGAGAAGTTCACTCTGACTACTTTTCTGGGACGCAAAAAGGTTAAATAATCCACCTGTTTATGCTAATATTGTTCGCCATCGCGCCTACTCGGGCAAACCACGCCCACACACACTGGAGCTCGAGGCAAGTCCGTCCTGATTGGATGAATCCTAAACAAGGCTAATAAGTAAGAAAAATAGCTAAAAGATTATTTTAGGTGAAAGGCTAATGCACTGCGGCATTAGCCTTTTTTCCGTTACCGTTATTAACGGAAGAAAAATAAATAATTGCAATAAAGAGAGATTTTATTAGGTGTAGAACAATAGGTGCCTCCCTATGCATTGCTATGCCAGGTCCCAATTAATAGCAAACTGATCTGGTAGCACGGGGAGGGGCGTACGGGGGGTGTATAACGTCTCTAGGCAACAATGTGTTGACACACAATCAGTACAGACAGGTCCAACGATGAGAGGTTAAATTAACATCAACATGTACAAGAGCTACCAGCCCTTTAATCCTGAAGCCAGCAGTTACCAGCAGAGATGGGACGCAAGATGCTATTCAATACACCTCGACAGGGTAGGATGATGGAAAAGGCTGTAGAAAGAGGTTTAATTTGATGACTTTTATATATTAAGTATAACGTACCTCGGTGTGTATTAGTATTTATGTAATTGCATAAAATGTGTTTCTTTAATGATGTTCATGTTTCTCTCTTTCTTTATTTCTTTATGGGAATTTGGTCCTCCAGTTTGGTCCTCCAGTCCTCTTGTGTCCAGTGTCCTCCATGACCGTTAGAAATGGAGGACACTGTCCATTTCTTCTTAGCTTTGATTATTTGTTCCACTGGGAAGATGAAAGCTACGGAGCCCCCAAGGGGACATGGAGAAAATATTTTTTCTTCACAATACTTTTGCATTCTCTCGCAATAAGCACCTGTATTTAAAATAGACCAGCAAAATTTCAAATATATACACATTTAAACAACCTCAGTGAAAACGTGTTTGTATAACTCTTTGTTACAAAAACAAAACTGATTAAAAATCGATTAATTCACTACATGTTTATTATGGAGGACCAAAACTGACAACAATAAAAGCATAGATATATATTTATGCTTTTATTTCTTATATTATTTTTTATTATGACATAATAAGAAATAAAAGCATAAGTACATATTTATACTTTTATTATTTATAAAGGGCATAAATATATATCTATGCCCTTTATTAACCATTCAGACTACCAACACAAAAGACACAATGAAAAGGGTAAGATGTGACTTTAGTACACCATATAGTGCACTAAGTAATTTAGAAATAATCCAAATAGTTTGGATGTGTTTTTTCTTTCTTTCCTTCTGTCAGAAAGTTTGTTTAATCTACAAATTCAAAGTTTGTAAGATCATAACCACTAGAAGAAGTTTTTGCGTTTCAGTCTGTGGAGTGAAACTATGGAACAGGAATCAAAACAATTTACAAACATTAAATAATTCAAACTTTTGTATAAGGAATAGTTTGCACTAAATAAGAAAAACTACTTTGATGTACTATGGTGTTATTACAGAGCATTGTAAGAGTCAGTATTGTCATTATTTTTGTAGTAAAAGTTGTTATTAGCATATTATTGTATGTATTGAATTAAGCAGGAACCTGAAAGTAGAATGAAGGTATACTGATACAACACTTATAAACATAATGTTCCTGGAAAAGGGCTGGGTTTTAATAAGTTTATACTTCTACATACTGAGCTGGTATGACAATTCTTGAAAGCTTGAATCCCTCATATAGATAGATTTAAAGTAAATTACATACCTTTAATTTTTTTCTAGAATTAAATGACAGTCAATTTATGTATGTTATGTAAAATAGGAAAATCTTTTTTGTCTGGAAACCTAACCAACTAGGCTTTGAAGTAATCATTCTTCCAAACCTAGCAGATACAGATAAGTCAACTGCATCCATCATTAACTGTGCAACAATTTCTCCTGTAGTAATGGAAAAGAAAGCTCTCTTTTAACAGGAAAAAACCTCTAGCAGAACCTGGATCAGTGTGAAAAACAGCTACAAAAACTAGAGAAAGTCTTGACATTACATGCCCCTTAAGCAATACAAGACACAGCAGAGAAAAATCCTGCTTTTAGCGACTGTTTAACAAGGTTGTGCCAGCTGATCATGATCAAAACTTAAATCCAAGCTGCAGTTAAGAGAATTTTATTTTCCTCAATATCATCAAAAATTGAAGGCAGAACATCAGTAAATAACAGACATTTGTGTTCAAAAGCAGCATTAAAAACGGATCTGCAGGTTTAAACAGTGATCAAAGACAAAAAAAAAAAAAACATACAAGCTTAAAGCGGTCAGCAAAAAGTAGACTTCCCCCATCACCCACTCACTAAAGTCACCAGGTGAGCAACAGGTGATCTACAATCATCACTAACACCATGTGACCCAGCGCTACACCAATCCACAACACATGCTACAAACCAAGTTCAATTCGGTTTTCTTTGCTTCTACCTGCCCAGGTGAAATTTGCCCTCCCTGTGGTGGACAGCGGGAGAGGGCTTCCATCAGCAAATGCCCAGAATAAAAGAAAGAAATTGCAGGTCAGTAAGCAGACACACAAACACAGGTACAACAAGTCATAAAGCTAACTATATGCGACAGTTTCCTCGCCAAGTGTACAGCCAGTATCCTACAAATCATTTAGAAAGAAAAGGCAATTTTGCCAAAACAAAAGTAATGTTCGAAATATTTGAAGGGTAAAGAGGGCAAATATTGAAAAATTAAGGCTTGCATTTCGACAGACCAAGAAAACTGAGTGCTGTGAGCAAAAGCAAAAGGTGTTTCTGTAAAGTCTTTCGTCTAAGTTTTTATTGTAGGTTATTTTCAGTTCAGATGGATATTTGTTCTAAAAAATAAAAAATAATTTGATAGGTTTTCCTCCTCTTTCTACATCACAAATAATTGTCTTTAAATTGTGGAGACACATCAGTGTGTGACTGTAAAGACATTCTCTGGAAGGTTTTAATAGGTTTCCATGTTAAATTTCTGGTTTTTAATTTGGTGAAGGATAGACGAATGTCTGCTGCTAGGAGAGACAATCGTCTTTGGGCTTCCAGGATGAAAGACAATCATCTTTTGGCTGCCAGGATGAAAAACAATCGTCTTTTTGCTGCCAGGATGAAAGAAAATCGTCTGTTGGCTGCCAGAATGGCTAACATCAAAAGCACAGTGGACCACAGGAATGAAAACAGATGTAGAAGGTAAGATATTTTGGGTTTAAGATAAAATAAAAGAAACAAATTTATAAGTCACCTTTATGTTTTGAGTCACTTGTCAGTTGATGTCATGAAAGGCTTTGCTATTCTTCAATTATTTCATTCTTAACTAAAATATTTGTTTTACACAAGCACATCTAATATACTGTATTAAGTGGAAATTTATATAAAATTTACTATATACTATATTTCCAAAAGTATTTGCTCACCTGTCTTGACTCATATAAAGTTTAGTCTCAGCTAGATCAGCTTAGACTTTTCTGGGAAGGCTGTCCACAAGGTTTAGGATTGTTGATGGGGATTTTCGACCATTCTACACAGAAGCGCATAATGAGGTCACATACTGATGTTGGACGACAAGGCCAGGCTCTCAGTCTTTGCTCTAATTTAATAGAAAGGTGTTTTATAGGGTCGAGGTCAGGACTCTTTGCAGGCCAGTCAAGTTCATCCACACCAGACAGACCATCCATATCTTTATGGACCTTGCTTTGTGCTCTGGTGCACAGTCATGTTGGAAAAGGGGCCAAGCCCATGTCCTGAATACATAACGTTTAGAGGTCTGTGGTGATTGAATCTGCAGAGGGTTGCCGACCTCATCGCACTATATGCTTCAGCATTCACTCACCGCGCTCTGTTAGTTTACGTGGCCTACCACTTCATGGCTGAGTTGCTCTTTTTCCCAAACACTTCCATTTTCTTATAATAAGGCTGACATTTGACTGTGAAAATATTAGGAACAAGGAAATTTCACAACTGAATTTGCTGCACAGGTGGCGTCCCATCACGGTTCCACACTCACTGAGCTCCTGAGATAGACCTGTTCTGTCACCAATGTTTGTGAAAACAGTCTGCATGCCTAGGTGCTTCATGTTATACACCTGTGACCATGGAAGTGATTGGAACACCTCATTTTGATCATTTGGATGGCTGGGAAAATACTTTTGGCAATATTGTATATAATATGAATTGCTGAATATGTAAAAAGTCTACTAATGGTCTGTCTATATTGAATCCAGAACAGGTTAATGATTTACTGTAAGTGAAATCTCTTCATTAGATACAAGTGCTACCTCATGCTTTTTTCTTTAGATTAGTTTTTTTGGTGACATCTTAGAGAACAAATAGGAAACAAAATAACTTGTTAAACTTTTTCAGTATGCTCAGATCGAATGCCGGCAAAAGAAAGCAGGATCTTGTGGTTATCAGTGAGGAAAATCAGGCGCTGTACCAACGACTCTTATCCCGAAAGTCTGTGTACTCCCGAGACAGTATGTTGGGTGACTGGATAAAGACGGAGTATTTAATGGCACACTTGGCCCGGTACCCCAGGGAACAAGCAGCTAAACAGGTGAGACCACACTATCATCATGTGTGAAAGTTTTACTCAGAAACAAAGAATTCTTGAAAGGATCCATAGACTTTTAAGAATTATTATGTTTATTAGACATAATAATAGACTTTATTTGAGAAATATTTAGGTTGTTTAGTTTGTCTGAATTGTAAGAAAATATTGCCACATTAACGTTGCCATGTTGGTCACACTGCAACATATTCTGGGTAAATGATGTATTGCTGATTGCTTTAGGTCCACTGAGTCAAAATAGTTATGGGCAATGTCTTAAGCCTTTCCAGAATGAAACAGAGAGCTTTGAAATCAATGGGAATGTAGAAATCACAAGAAGTAATGATGATGCAGCTGGTGTTTTTGGTGCTGCTGCCACCTTCAACATCATAAATTATAAAATGAAAAACACACATCTGTGGTCAGACAATGTGATCCGAAAGTAAGTAGCTCTATAGTTCTGTGTCTGGTCCAGTAACAGCTGTTTATGGTCCAGTGTCAGTGTGTGGTACATATTTAGTTCTGGTGTCAGCAGCATTTAGCTCTGGAAGAATTTCCAAAAGCTTCCAGCGCTGCATGTCTGATGTTCCTTCCAGCATTGGCAATGGGGTCTAGTCGCTTTGTGGATAAAAACTGTCGATCACCTGTTAGACCCTTGGTCAGTTTTGCTCATACAAATGACTCACAGTCGCCTGGAGTGAAATGTTTGAGGGCACAATATAAGTCCTTCGGAAGTTATGTTTGGCTCTCTACCGCTCCTCTTTCTCTTCTTCCCTCTGACTATTGATGCCGTCCCAATCTTTGTCCTTCCACTGTCAGGACATTTACTTTCTAAATGATGGTTCATACCTCTGAACTATTTCAGAAAATTGGTTGATCATTCCTTGATCTAATGCCTCAAATTTTACAGATGTAGGAGAAAGTCAGGATTCACCTGGTAGCAATTTACCAGTTGAGGACAGATTGAGAAAAAAACATTAAATAAATATGTATAGAAAATGTGTTTGGCATATTATCAAGAATCAAGAATACTTTTATTAGTCCCCCATCTAAATGGTAAGTTAACTGAACTTATATATCGTTTTCCAATCATTTTAACCACTTAAATCGCTTTATAATAGTGTCACATTCACCCATTGGCATTCACATTTACACAAATGATGTACAGATCGGTTGACAATTTGGGGTTAAATGTCTTGCCCAACCTTCCGATCACAGGACGACTATTCCACCCACAGAACCACAGTCACCCACTGACCTTCCCCGGGAATGTACATTTTTGTACAGCCCATCCAAAAGAACAAAATCACTGTATTAGAAGACATATGTCTGAGGCTGCAGCCGTGTGAGGTGATGCCCTTTAGTCAGAGGAGAAAAAAGAATACAAGGAAAGACGAAGGGACAAAAGTGACAACTTGGTTAAGCATTTTGCATGTTAACATTTGTACAATGAACTTATGCTTAAATGCTTAGGTCAAGACTATTCAACAGAGACCAATATAATACATTTTGATCAACATGATACAAGCAATTAAAAACATGAAGGAAGAGCAGGGATTTGTATATAATCAAATGCATTGATGTACAAAAGCATTTGCAACTTGTTCACAGAAATAGCTTTCTTTGATGTACACAAGTGATGCAGTGAATTAAAGATTGATCAAGTAGTTTTGAGAATTTCAATTCTGTTCTGAGAAAAGCACTGAAGCGACTCAGAAAACTGAAAATATATCATAGCATATGTCAGGCATATGTTGAGACAGTTTTTTTTTTACTATTCAGCGCCCCCCCTCCAATGGTACTGCAGCCCCCTAAGGGGGCACAGCCCACACTTTGGTAACCACTTTGTTCGTCACAGAGTTCAGCTTATAAGCTATGGATGTGTTTGTAATCAGTTGTATGTTTGGTGTTTGCAGAGACTGGAAAGGAAAGAGAAGAAGGTGACCTTTGACAAACAAGATCAGGGCAAGGCAACCACTGGCAGAAGCAAAGAAATTCCTAGAGACCAGTAAAGCTCTCAACTTACATGGAGATGTTTTGCAAATTTTGTTTTGAAATTTTAAACAAACAACATGCTGCCACTAGGCTGCAGTGTCTAAAACCCTTAAGTGGCCTACATCATCTACATCACATCACATGCTGCAAATGAGACATCACAAGGGTTATTTACATCATGGAAGCAGATAAGACATAATATTTTTGTATTTATCATGAACATAAATTACAGCGGTACGCTCAGTTATGAATTAATATAGAATGAATGATTGAACAAGAATATGATAAAGATATGGAAACCACATACACTATATTGCCAAAAATATTCATTCACCTGCTTTATTGTTTCCCAATTATTTTCTGTCATGCCGCCCCTAGGGATAATACTTTTTTTCACGCCCCCCTGACTCCTGTCCAAATTGAAATGCTAGTCAGGATCTGATAATATTTAATAATTTATCTGTACTACCCACTGGCTTCACCAGTAAATGACCCGATTATCAAAACTGAAATGAGAGGTAATCACTCAATTTACTGTTTTGTTTATGGACAATTTCCAAGTTCAGTTAATTAACTCGAGACTGCTCAGTCTGTGGGATTCTCAATAGAGAAAATGTGCAAATGATCAACTTTGATGTAAATTTTCACTCTAAAAATATTCTATTTTTAACTGCTTTTTCAGCTTGTAAATGTATACAGTTTTAAACATTTTTGTGCAAAATTCATAACAATACTGCTTATTACAACTTGTCAGAAAAGTGGAGATTTTACATTTACAGAAAAAAGGCCTTATCTATGTCTTGGGCTTTCTCTGAGAGCTGTTACTTGTTTAAGACTGAGTTAGGGCCAGACGAAGAGTTTTTTTGTGTTTTTCAAAAAATCCTTCCACTATGCTAGAATCCAGTGGCGACGTGCTTTACACCACTGCATCCAACACTTTGCAATGCACTTGTTGATGTTTGGCTTGGATGCACCTGCTCCACCAAGGAAACCCATTCCATGAAGCTCTCTGAACACTATTCCTGAGTTAATATGAAGGTCTGATAAAGTTTAGAGGTCTGTGGTGATTGAATCTGCAGAGGGTTGCCAACCTCATCGCACTATATGCTTCAGCATTCACTCACCGCGCTCCGTTAGTTTACGTGGCCTACCACTTCATAGCTGAGTTGCTCTTTTTCCCAAACACTTCCATTTTCTTATAATAAGGCTGACATTTGACTGTGAAATATTTAGGAACGAGGAAATTTCACAAATTGGATTTGCTGCACAGGTGGCATCCCTTCACGATTCCACACTCACTGAGCTCCTGAGATAGACCTGTTCTGTCACCAATGTTTGTGAAAACAGTCTGCATGCCTAGGTGCTTCATGTTATACACCTGTGACCATGGAAGTGATTGGAACACCTCATTTTGATCATTTGGATGGCTGGGAAAATACTTTTGGCAATATTGTATATGATATGAATTGCTGAATATGTAAAAAGTCTTCCAATGGTCTATATTGAATCCAGAACAGGTTAATGATTTACTGTAAGTGAAATCTTTAGATTAGTTTTTTTGGTGACATCTTAGAGAACAAATAGAAAACAAAAGAACACTTGTCAAACTTTTTCTGTATCCTCAGATCGATTGCTGGCAAAAGGAAGCAGGATCTTGTGGCTATCGGTGGGAAAAATCAGGCCGTTCATCCAGGATTTGTACCCCGCAAGTCTGTGTACTCCCGAGAGCGTTTCTTGGCCGAATGGAAGAAGATGGAGCCCTTGCGACAACACTTGGCCCGGTTCCCCAGGGAACAAACACCTAAACAGGTGAGACCACACTATCATCATGTGTGAAAGTTTTACTCAGAAACAAAGAATTCTTAAAAGGATCCATGATTAGTTGTGATAATAGACTTTATTTGAGAAATATTTAGGTTGTTTGGTTTTTCTGAATTGTAAGAAAATATTGTCACATTAACGTTGCCATGTTGGTCACACTGCAACATATTCTGGGTAAATGATGTACAAAGGTCCAATTGCTTTAGCTCCATCTAAATAGTGATGGGCAATGTCTTAAGCCTTTCCAGAATGAACCAGAGAGCTTTGAAATCAATGGGAATGTAGAAATCACAAGAAGTTATGATGATTGAGCTGGTGTGGAGTTAACATTCGTACTATGAAGTTATGTTTAATGTTTGGAAGGTGAAGACTATTCAACTGAGAGACATATAATACAATAATACATTACTGATCAATGTCCTGTATTATTAACAGCTGTTAGTAATGCATTATTGATCAATAAGCAATTAAAAGCATGAAGAAAGAGCAGGGATTTGTACATAATCACTTGTATTGATGTACAAAAGCATTTGCAACATGTTCACAGAAATTGCTTTTTTTGATGTACACAAGTGATGCAGTGAATTAAAGATTGATCAAGTAGTTTTAAGAATTTCGATTATGTTTTGAGAAAAGCATTAAAGTGACTGAGAAACTGTAAATGTATCATAGCATATGTCAGGCAGCATCACTGTGACCTGAGTGATCCCTGTTGAACTGTGAAATGGTGGAAGTAATATGTAATTACTAAACAAGTTGTAAAAGTTTACATAAAAACAAAGAATACATCTGTTAACCTACTGTTTCCCAAAGATTTTCTTCTGGGTTCCTCTATGGATTTCAAAAAAAAAAAAAAAAAAAATCAACTGAGCAGACACATTATTCAACCAGACATAGACCTATACACAATTTTATTTTCAAACTCCACTGAAGTTTATTTCGCACTTCAAGTTGCAACAAAGCTACAAACCATCGTTTCAGTGAAACAATTTTTTTTGTTCATCCATACCAATTCCTGCCCCCGCCTATTGGTACAGCAGGCCCTCTCGGGGGCACAGCCCACACTTTAGGAACCACTTTGTTTGTCACAGAGTTCAGCTTATAAGCTATGGATGTGTTTGTAATCAGTTGTATGTTTGGTGTTTGCAGAGACTGGAAAGGAAAGAGAGGAAGATGAGCTTTGACAAACAAGATCAGTCTTCAAGCAAGGCAACCACTGGCAGAAGCAAAGAAATTCCTAGAGACCAGTAAAGCTCACAACTTACATGAGGATGTTTTGCAAATTTTGTTTTGACATTTTAAACAAACAACATGCTGCCACTAGGCTGCAGTGTCTAAAACCCTTAAGTGGCCTACATCATCTATATCACATCACATGCTGCAAATGAGACATCACAAGGGTTATTTACATCATGGAAGCAAATAAGACATAAGACAAGACATAATATTTTCATATTTATCGTTAACATAAAATTACGATGGTACCCTCAGTTATGAATGAGTAAAGAATGAATGAATGAACAAGAATATGATAAAGATATGGAAACCACATACACTATATTGCCAAAAGTATTCACTCACCTGCTTCATTATTTTCTGGCATGACAATTATTTTCTGTCATGGGATGATACATTTTTTTCACGCCCCCCTGACTCCTGTCCAAATTGACATGCTAGTCAGGATCTGATAATATTTAATAATTTATCTGTACTACCCACTGACTTCACCAGTAAATGACCTGAATATCAAAACAACTGAAATGAGAGGTAATCACTCAATTTATTGTTTTAAGTTTATGAACAATTTCCAAGCACAGTTAATTAACTCGAGACTGCTCAGTCTGTGGGATTCTCAATAGAGAAAATGTGCAAATGATCAACTTTGATGTAAATTTTCACTCTAAAAATATTCTATTTTTACTGCTTTTTCAGCTTGTAAATGTGTACAGTTTGCAGCAAAGTTGTAATGATAAAGTGCAAAACAAAAAAACTATTAAAATTCAACACCACACTGCTACAACAAGGGACACAGAGGGTCTTGTAAAGTTATAGTTGGTTTTAGTCTTACAAATTAGAAAATATTTCATCTTAACAGATCAGAAACAAATCTGATCTATCACAACTCTTTAAATAATAACTATTTCAAGAACTGTAATTTCAAAGAATGACTTGCTGAACTGGCCACATCATATCTTGATTACACGATCAAACTTTTTTATTATGATGATGATGATGTCTTAACAAGAATCTTTTCTTTAACAAGTAGTAGTATCTATTCTCATAATACTTTGTTCTCATAATATTCTGACTTTTTTTGTAGTTTAACCAAAAATCTTAGTTGGGCCCTAAAACTCCGTCACGCTTGTTTTACTAACGTCTGCTGTGTTTTGTTTATTTTCACTGTCACTTCTCCATTTCTCCTCTATGTTGGTAGAAATGTTTCTAAACCTCCGAACTTGTATCCTCACTGCGCTCTCAGCTCAGTGTATCTCGTCTACAATCTCTTCTTCTACTAAACGGACAGCCTATTGATTAATTTGAACACTGCTGCCACCTCGGAACAGGAGGCTTGTTTTGCAGTCAAGAATAAATAAAGACAGTTGTAAAGTCCTGATTCTCTGCACACCAGACTCTCTATCCATTTCTTTGTGCTTTGGTGCACAGTCATGTCGAAAGAGGAAGAGGCCAGCTCCCAACTGTTCCCACAAAGTTGAGAGCATGGAATTGTCCAAAATGTCTTGGAATGCTGAACTATTCAGAGTTCCTTTCACTGGAACGAAGGGGCCAAGCCGAGCTCCTGAATAACAACCCCACATCATAATCCCCCCTCCACCAAACTTTACACTTGGCACAATGCAGTCAGAGAACTACTGTTGTCTTGCAACCACCCAACCCAGATTTGTCTATCAAATTTCCAGAAGGGGAATTCGTCACTCCAAAGAATGCCTCCATTGCTCTAGAGTCCAGTGGCGACATGCAGTTGGTGATGTTTGGCTTGGATGCACCTGCTCCACCAAGGAAACCCATTCCATGAAGCTCTCTGAACACTGTCCTTGAGATAATCTGAAGGTCACATGAAGCTGACATTTGACTGTGGAATATTTAGGAACAAGGAAATTTCACAACTGAATTTGCTGCACAGGTGGCGTCCCATCACGGTTCCACACTCACTGAGCTCCTGAGAGGGACCTGTTCTGTCACCAATGTTTGTGAAAACAGTCTGCATGCCTAGGTGCTTCATGTTATACACCTGTGACCATGGAAGTGATTGGAACACCTCATTTTGATCATTTGGATGGCTGGGAAAATACTTTTGGCAATATAGTATATAATATAAATTGCTGAATATATAAAAAGTCTTCCAATGGTCTATTTTGAATCCAGAATAGGTTAATGATTTACTATAAGTGAAATCTCTTCATTAGATACAAGTGCTATCTGATATTTTTTCTTCAGGTTAGTTTTTTTTTGGTGACATCTTAGAGAACAAATAGGAAACAAAAGAACACTTGTTAAACTTTTTCTGTATCCTTAGTTTGAGTACTGGCAAAAAGAAGCAGGATCTTGTTATCGGTGGGAAAAATCAGGGCATGTACCAACGACGCTTAGCTGTCCAGTCTTCGTACTCCCGAGAGCGTTTCTTGACTGAATGGATGAAGATGGAGCCCTTGCGACAACACATGACCCGGTTCCCAAAGAAACAAGCACCTAAACAGGTGAGACCACACTATCATCATGTCTGAAAGTTTTACTCAGAAACAAAGAATTCTTGAAAGGATCCATAGACTTTTAAGAATTATTATGTTTATTAGACATAATAATAGACTTTATTTGAGAAATATTTAGGTTGTTTAGTTTGTCTGAATTGTAAGAAAATATTGCCACATTAACGTTGCCATGTTGGTCACACTGCAACATATTCTGGGTAAATGATGTATTGCTGATTGCTTTAGGTCCACTGAGTCAAAATAGTTATGGGCAATGTCTTAAGCCTTTCCAGAATGAAACAGAGAGCTTTGAAATCAATGGGAATGTAGAAATCACAAGAAGTAATGATGATGCAGCTGGTGTTTTTGGTGCTGCTGCCACCTTCAACATCATAAATTATAAAATGAAAAACACACATCTGTGGTCAGACAATGTGATCCGAAAGTAAGTAGCTCTATAGTTCTGTGTCTGGTCCAGTAACAGCTGTTTATGGTCCAGTGTCAGTTTGGTGGTACATATTTAGTTCTGGTGTCAGCAGCAGTTAGCTCTGGAAGAATTTCCAAAAGCTTCCAGCGCTGCATGTCTGATGTTCCTTCCAGCATTTTATGCTGTTCAGCTGGCAATGGGGTCTAGTCGCTTTGTGGATAAAAACTTAGACCCTTCGTCAGTTTTGCTCATACAAATAACTCACAGTCGCCTGGAGTGAAATGTTGAGGGCACAGTTTAGGTCAATGAAGTTATGTTTGGCTCTCTACCGCTCCTCTTCCTCTTCTTCCCTCTGACTATTGATGCCGTCCCAATCTTTGTCCTTCCACTGTCAGGACATTTACTTTCTAAATGATGGTTCATACCTCTGAACTATTTCAGAAAACTAGTTTATCTTTTTTTTCTTTTTTTTATGTGGGAAATGATCCCACATAATTAAAGCAATTATTAATTAAAACAACCTTACTGTTGTTTTAATTACAGCTAACAGTGACACAGTGTGACATTATCTAAAATTACAGCAGTCAAACTCAAGATGATAAACTACTTAAATAAAGATAGCCTTCCTGTGTTAACTCTGTGGATTCCAGTACAGAAAGGTCCCGACAACATTATCAACCCATTAGGTGAAAAAATGCTGACCTCCATAGATAAAAATATGACAAAAGATATACATTTTTGAGTTTTGGAATACCACATATTTAATCAATGGGAAAATTATAACATATTTAGGCCAATATGTTCAACTAATCTTTGATCAATTAAAATAAATTCATTGGCAAAATAGTAAGTCTATTTCTCAAAATAATTAATAAAGAAACAGCATGGATTACCTGCAGAATCCATTTTCTTTCTTAAAATCGGCAGGTTACCTCTCAATGGTAAAAATCTGTCAGTGAACATGTCAGTGCCCCAGAATGGCAAGTTCTTGTTTCATTGGGTTCAGCTAAGACAGTCAAATGGATTAGTCAAAATAACAGTGTGCTTTGGAGAAAATTTCTGTTGTAAACCATGACTAAAGTTTACATGGCTGAAGGTATTGTAAATTGTAATTGTGGAAGATTGATTGCAAGAGACTGAACAAGATTTACATTTATGCTGTTATTGTAATGTGTTGACAGGCCATGTCATTTTGATTCAAAAAAGAAAAAAAAAGCAATGCAGAGTACAAAAAGTCTTAGAGTGAAAATGGGAATATAAGAGAATCACAAGGAAAAGTGTACATGCAGTGTACAGCTGCCTCGCTCTTCTTCTCTCTCACTACTAACCTCATCCCAATCTTTGTCCTTCCACTGTCAGGAATGCAACATTTTGTTGTGCTCTGGCTATATGCACTATGTACTTTCCAGCTGATGGTTCTTACCTCTGAACTATTTCAGAAAGCTGAAAATCTATCCTTGATCTAATGCTTCACATTTTTACAGATGTAGGAGAAAGTCAGGATTCACCTGGCAGCAATTTACCATTTGAGGACAGATTCAGAAAAAACATTAAATAAGAAAAATGTATAGAAAATATGCCTGGCATATTATCAAGAATCAAGAATACTTTCATTAGTCCCCCAGGAAAGAAACTGACTTTTTTGTACAGCCCATCCAAAAGAACAAAAACACTATATGAGAAGACATATGTCTGAGGCTGCAGCCGTGTGAGGTGATGCCCTTTAGTCAGAGGAGAAAAAAAGAACACAAGGAAAGACGAAGGGACAAAAGTGACAACTTGGTTAAGCATTTTGCATGTTAACATTTGTACAATGAACTTATGCTCAAATGCTTAGGTTGAGTTTATTCAACAGAGATCGATATAATACATTGATATCATGATCAACATAATACAAGCAATTAAAAACATAAAGGAAGAGCAGAGATTTGTACATATTCACAAAAGCATTTGCAACTTGTTCACAGAAATTGCTTTTTTTTGATGTACACAAGTGATGCACTGAATTAAGGATAGATCAAGTAATTTTGAGAATTACAATTCTGTTTTGAGAAAAGCACTAAAGCGACTCAGAAAACTGTAAATGTATCATAGCATATGTCAGGCAGCATCACTGTGACCTGAGTGATCCCTGTTGAACTGTGAAATGGTGGAAGTAATATGTAATTACTAAACAAGTTGTAAAAGTTTACATAAAACCAAAGTATATATCTGCTAGCCACAGAGTTCAGCTTATAGCTGTACATGTGTTTGTAATCAGTTCTATATTTTGTGTTTGTGATTATCAGCCCATTTACCAAAAACGCTTACCCCACAAGTCTGAGTTCGCCCGAGAGCACTGGTTAAAAGAATGGAAAAAGATGGTGGCCGTGCGAAACCACTTGGACCGGTACCCCAGGCAACCAGCAACTAAACAGGTGAGACCATACTATGTGTTATGTGACAGTGTTAAAATTTACACTTACTACACATGTATGGAACTGAACAACTTAAAAAAAATGTAATAAAAATGTTATAATAGTTTGAGGTTATGAACAATAGAGGATGTTAAAGTTGAAAGAAACCAGCCTGCAATAATACTCCGGGAAAACTGAATTGTAATAAGGGAACATGAAAGTTCAGTTGGAGGAAGGAAAAAAGATTGAAAAGTTCTACATAATTTAATGGAGTTACTTCTGGTTGAACTGAGTGATCCGGTAAGTAGCGTCCTAAACAGCTGTTTAGGGTCCAATCAAGTTTGATTGGTGGTTTCATATTCAGTACCTGCAGTAACAGCAATTAGCTCTGTTAGCTATGTGAGAATTATGTTCTTTGACTTCTCAAGTGCATTCAGCACCATCCATCCAGCTCTACTGGGTCTACTTTGTCACATGGTGTGGACAGAACCACCTGGAGCTTAATGTGACAAAGACCAAGGAACTGGTGGTGGATCTGAGGAGGAGGATCAGGATATTGGTGACTCCTGTTACCATCCATGGGGTCAGTGTGGACATTGTGAGGAACTATAAATATTTGGGTGTCTGCATTGATAAATAACTGGACTGGGTCAAGAATACTGATACTGTGTACAGGAAGGGCCAAAGTCGCCTCTAGTTTCTGAGGCAGCTGAGGTCATTCAACATCTCCCGGACTTTGCTCAGGATGTTTTTTGACTCTGTGGTTGTCAGTGCCGTTCTGTATGCTGCGGTGTGCTGGGGGAGCAGGCTGAGGGTGGAGGACACCAACAGACTGAACAAACTGATCCGGAACGCCAGCGACGTCATTGGAGTGGAGCTGGACTCTCTGACAGTGGAGTCAGAAAGAAGGATCCTGTCCAAGATGCAGGCCATCTTGGACATCGTGTCTCATCCAGTCCATGACGTGCTGGCTGGATACAGGAGCACCTTCAGCTAGAGACTCATTTTGCCAAAGTGCACCACAGAAAGTCATTTCTGCCTGTTGCCATCAGGCTTTTTAATGCCCAAGTCTGTGTGAATTGATTCAAATTGTTTCTGCGCTCATTTATAGGTTATTTATTGATTAATATATTCCATGTGATTGCTTATTTATTTATTTGTTTAGATTTATTTGTATATGAACGTATCACTCTTAGGTATATATATATATTTTACAAACTTTGTAGTTATTAACTTAGATGGAGTAGCTTTAAAAAAAAATAAGCAATTTCCCCCTGGGGATCAATAAAGTACATTCAATTCCATTCTATTTCAAAGAGCTGTTAGCATTTTAGTAATGAAACTTCTTTCTACTGAAAGGAGTTAAAAATATACGATTTGAGAGGATATCCAGTGACAGGCAACTTTGCTAAATTCTCTATCTTATGGCATCTTTCATGATATTCTTTCACTCTCTTCAGTCACTTTTCCAAGATTCAGTGATCTCTCCCACCGCACCTGTCAATTTTGTTCACCTTTTTTAATTGATTATCTTTTCATTAGTTATGTATATGTTTTGTCCTAAACAGTAATGTAAGAAAAAGAAAAATACTCATTCAAGGTGAATCGTTTGCCATTTTCTATCTGTACACTCGTTATCTCTTTTGTGTCTGTGTTTCCTCTTTTCTGGCGATGTCATCGAGAAACTGTGTACTTTGTGGCATACTGTGTCATTGGTAGTCAAAATTTCTCTTGTAATGTCTCCTTTCCTCCTAATAAAAATATTAATTTGAAAAAAAGAATTACCTGCAGAATCCAGTTTTTTCTAAAAATCCGTAGTTTATCTCTCAAAGGTAAATATTTGTCAGTGAACATGTCAGTGCCTCAGAAAGACAAGGAAGCAGGAGAGAATTGAAATATTCACTTGCATTGATGTACAAAAGCATTTGCAACTTGTTCACAGAAATCGTTTTCTTTGATGTACACCAGTGATGCAGTGAATTAAAGATTGATACTGCAGAGCATTCTCAAAATTAGTTTTGAGAATTTCGTTTCTGTTTTGAGAAAAGCATTAAAGTGACTGAGAAACTGTAAATGTATCATAGCATATGTCAGGCAGCATCACTGTGACCTGAGTGATCCCTGTTGAACTGTGAAATGGTGGAAGTAATATGTAATTACTAAATAAGTTGTAAAGGTTTACATAAAAACAAAGAATACATCTGTTGACCACAGAGTTCGGCTTATAAGCTGTGCATGTGTTTGTAATCAGTTGTATCTTTGGTATTTGCAGAAACCGCAAAGGAAAGAGAAGATGGTGACTGTTGACAAACAAGATCAGCCTTCAAGCAAGGCAACCACTGGCAGAAGCAAAAAACTTCCTGGATCCAAGTAAAGCTCACAACTTGCATGGAGATGTTTTGCAAATTCTGTTTTGACATTTTAAACACACAACATGCTGCCACTAGGCCTGATGGTCGAGAACCCTTAAGTGACCTACATCATCTACATCACATCACATGCAGCACGCTGTGTTTTATGGAAGCAAATAAGACAACACATAATATTTTTTATTCATCATAACTTATCATAAGGAATATAAAATTGAGGTGATTTCCTGTTATGAATAAATAAATTGTTACCAAAATATAATAGTAATATAAGAACAATCTAATAAAGATATGAATACTACATACATTATATCACAATGTGCTGACATTTGACAAAGCAGGATGAAATGTGACATAAGTTTCTTTGGTAAAATATCAGTTTCAATTGAAATTATTGCTGGCAATGGCTGACAAATATTGGTTGGAGGCACTTTACAAGAAAATTCAATTCAATGGTGTGTAAATTCCAACTGATCCTATCAAGCAGTACAGTAAGTCCAGTTCATTACTGAAAGGAGTTTAAAAAGTTTCTATCTAAGGAAACCCAAGAGGGCATCAACAAACACAGCAACAGTAGACAGTTACTTGCTTTATCTTGTTGACTTTTCAGCAATCCCTCATTCATTCTGAGCATTCATGTAGAGACAGTGGGGAGTAAAACCTTCCTTTGAACAGTAAGAAACCTCCAGGAAAACCAGAACCTGGCTCAGTCCATCTGCCGCAATCGACTCGACGCCAGCAGAACATTTACTTAATGGCTGGATTTTTTGTTTTTATTATTATTATTATTATTATTGTTATTTTGGCTCTCGGCTGTTTTAAGGAGCAGAAGATACCCAAACGGAAGGACAGAAACATGCAAACAGTGAATTTTACACTTGCTGTCCAGTTCAGACAAGAACTGTCTGAACAGTTCTAAGCCCACTTCTACTGTGTGTATGGATACATAAGAAATATTTCACACATTTCATTCAAGTACAGTCTAAGGTTAACTGGAACAGTGATCTTTTGCATCACACTGAACTTAAACTTAAACATGTCATTCAAAAAGGGGAAAAAATACAAACTGGATTTTTTTTTGCAAATTGGGCTTTTAGGGAGTTGATAAGAGAACCAGACATTCAGAGTGTGGAGCCTATTGTTCACAGGCTGAGGAAGAAAAAAGTTCTTTCACAGGTTACATTAAAGCACATCTGGTCTTAAGCACAGTGAGCTGAATCACAGACAGTTAGAGGAGTTTCCTGTTTTTGCAGCACTACAGACATTATAGCCAATTTTTGAAAGAGAGGAGGTAAGGCCATTTAGAGAACTTGTCTGTGTGAGCCCGGCAGACACATGAGTCAGGAGGAGGTCCGTTTACTACTTGGAGCGCCTCCTCCTTCTCTTCCTCTCTGTTCCGCCCCGTCTGTCCCACATCAGAGCAGCAGAGTGAACGATCTACTGTGGGATGAGACAGAGCGCTTATTCTCACTCCGTTCTTCACTGTTTGTCTTTGAGAGCAACTCATGGATTATCACCACGTTCTTGTGCTGTGGATGTGCACCCTGTGGCCAGGTGAGTGAGCATGCAACACATGATGCCGAGTTCATTTCAAACAAGTGCTGCAGGTGATTTTAAGGACATGTCAAATTGCCATCATTTATTTGAAATTCCTCCAAGCTGTCAATTACACATAAGGGACAATATTTTAAAACATTTAGCAAATTAGCCGAGCTTCCTTCGATTTACTAAGTAATCTGCCTCAAATTTCAAGGTGCAGCATCAATTTTATTTCAGAAAATAAAACAGGTCATTACCAGCAGGCAAAAAAAATAATCTAATTATATCCAAACTTTTAAAATCATCAATTCATTTAACAAGAGAAAAAAATCTATCTATGCCATCCTAACTGAAAAAGTATTTGCTCCCCTAAATTTAGACTTGGTTGTGCCCTGCTCACAGCATATGTTGCACTTCAGCCTCCTAATTGGATATAAATCAAGACTTTAACTAGGCCACTCCAAAATCTTGATTTAAGATTTTTCTTCATTTAGTTTCAACATATGTAGGTCAGCAGTGGGTTTGGACTTGGAACTCTTCTATTCAGGTTATCTTTCTCCATTTTTTTTTCTTCATTTTGTTGAATCAAGAACTTGGAGCTGGAGTGGTCCAGATGTTGTCATTACAAAACTCTTGGATTAATTTTTGAAGGCGTATTAGTGTGGAGATTTAAAAAACAACACCAGATCAACTTAATAAGGTGGTCTGAAAAGTTTCTGTCATTAAGTAAGCTCAAGTTACGGGAATGAACTCTAATGATTAAAGTAAATTCAATTAATTTCACTGGTACACAAGTAATTCACAACAAGTGTCATTTTGAGGCACTTTGCAATAAAGTATTTCAAGTCAATCACACATAAATGGCTGTAAAAGTAGAGAAAGAAGAAACGTGAATCAATCAGTCACATTTTATTTGTACAGCACATTTCAGCAAAAAGGCAGTTCAAAGTGTTTCACTTTAATTAAAAACAAAAATACAAAGTCATAGAACACAGTCAACAACTAAAGCATTCGATTTTGTCAAGTGTTAATATTACACATCAGATTATTGATTAATGATTATGTCTCAAAAGCAGGTGTGTTTTTAGTCTACATGGGTTTAATGTACATCTCAAATAACTTTTTCTACTCCTTCCAAGGAGTAAGACATCTTTCTAAGAAAGGATCTTAAAGTGAAGGTCTCTGTCTTTAGATATTGTCAAATCATTTCCCTGTCAGGTCTATATTAGTTTTTCTGGACCAAGTTATGCCTCTGGAAGTGCATTGGTTAATGGGACCTACATATAAAATGAAATTCAACTATTTATTAGCATCTAAGCTCCTGACTATTTGGCTGTTTGTACTTAATAAATGAGTGAAGCAGACAATGTAGAACCAAAGAAGAATTAGGTACAATAGTAGAAGACCCCTGAATAATTCGCAAGTCAGAATCAAGAACAAAGAAACAATTGAGAAAACAAGTTAATTAACATAATATGAACATAAATAAAATCTGAGGCCAGTCTCCTTAATAAAATAAATTGGAGTTGTTTATAAACATTTCATTAGTCTGACATTTTTATTGGGCAGCATTCATCTGAGAAAGATTAACTTTTGGGGATTATTTGTATTCAAATATTTTGAGGTCTTGTCAAAAATCTTTTCGCTAACCACATGGGTCTTAGCATATGGAGGGTCTAATCTGACACAGTTTGAGAAAGTCCAGTCAGAGTTGAATTACTTTAAAAATGTATCCTTTCCATAATAAGTGAAAAGGATACAAAACAGAAGAGTGAAACTATTCGGTGGCATGAGATCTGAACAGGAAACTAACTAAATGAGGAGAGGAGACATTTATAAAACTCTCAAGAAGCAATATTTTAATAACTATAAGCTGCAGAAGTTACTTACAGTTGCTCTCGTAGTTACTAAAATAGTCACTTCTGTTTTGAAATATCACATAATGCAGTAATTATTTCATTTAGAAAATTACTATTTTTTGGACTGGATCACGTAAGCTGCACTAACAACATTCAGTCATCCAGAGGACACATGCAACATTTTCCTTATTGTTTGGATATTAAATTAGTTAAAACTAAACTACAACTGTGTGAAATTGAAACTCTTTGTGGGCAGCCCCGGATATTTGTGGATCCAAATGTCGCTTCTGGATCAGGGTCTTAATGTGTAACTTTTTAAGATTTATTGATTCTGCAGATATGACACTGATTGAGCCTGAGTGAAATTGGCTTCAGTTATTAAAGAATATAGTCAATACATAATTTACCACATTGGGAGAATTACTTTTGGATAGTAACTAAAACCCTTATTTGAAGCATTCTGTTGCATTCACTGTAGTCTGAAATAAATGTTTGTTTGATGATCCGAAACCTTTAACTATGACCAAAAAAAAGTAACAGTAACAGGAAAATGTGAAGGGGGAAATACATTTTTATAGAATGATTACAATTCCTGTAATCTTGTTTTATCTGAAGAAATTAACATTCTTGTGAGAATGGGGAAAAAAAACAATTGAAGTAATTATTATTAAACATTTATTCATGTCTCATAGATGGAGTTCTATAACATTTTAGTCCCAGCAGTATATTTCATAAATATGCCTGGCCTTCCCCAGCTGTCCACTGAAACCATTCAAATTTGCAACAGGAAGTGCTAATATCTCAAGACATTAGCACTTCCTGCAGTGCTGTGTTGTTTTAGAGGTTTCACTGGCTGTTCTGATATTTCAATCAATGCAGGTAGGGTGTGGAATTGCCACTAAGCATCATTTCCTGTTTATCTTTTATTGCATGATGCTTTTAAACAGTGAAGTGTGAAATGTCACTCAGATGAATTAGTGTGGACTCAGTGATCTCCGCTGAGGGTCGTAGTGGTTTTCAGACTGATCAATATATATGTTCACTGACACATCAGCTGTTTGTGCTTATTGCCTGCTGATCCGCAGCTGGCAGTTAAACACAGAAAGCAGTCATTTGGAATCTGGATGTCATGTATCCTGATGTTTTAAATCCTCAGTGAAACTAAAGTGAAGCTTCTGGCAAAACCAGAGTAGTACTGTACATTTATAGAAGTCAACATTGGTCAATATTCAAATTAAAAATAAACACTGCTTTCAACATGTAGCTTGTATATCCTTCAGACTCAAAAGCCAAACTGACCAATGTCTAAAAGTCTTTTATATAACTTTAAAAAATAAAAATACCACTTTCACGCTCTCTCTCCCTTCACCCCTGTTCACCAATCAGCCCAGGTCTTTTGTTCCCTCATTCACCCTCACAGTATTGAAACCTTCTTCCTGCTTGCCCTCCAGGAGGAGTGTTGGAGGGTTAAACCTCCTGTTAAACGTTGTTTAATCCCATTATACCCTGTTATTTTCTCTGTGTTCCCTGATGGCTCTTTCCTTGGATTTATAGGTTTTGTTCTGCTCTGGTTCCCTGTTGCACATTTTTCATTAAAATACAAAACCTACATTCCCCCTCTGCCGTTCTGCATTTGGATCCACCAACACACATCATAACAGCTTGAGGGAGAAAGCAGTAAAATGATCAATGGAAAGAAAAAAAGAAACTTTTTGTATCCTAAAGTTGGCTGTGCTGTCTTATACCTAACTCTGAATTTCAGACTTAAGTCTGGCATATGTGAAGTTCAGCCTCAAGACATGAGACCTACAGTATGT